AAGAGAGAGGAACAGGGGGTGGGCCCCAGCTGTGGGGCCCACCCCCTGTTCCTCTCTCTTGCGAGTTGGGTGCGAGTTTGGGGGGCGAGCAAAATAGCATTTTGGTAAAAATAGTTCATAATTTTTTGCAAAATATCTAACATTTTTTTTTAAGTAGGCTATTGGCTCAACAAAAAAAGTGTTCCTACCTAATTTCTTATTTTATTCAAATATTCTATTGCGCAGCATATAGATAATGAATGAAACCTAAAAAATCTTTTGATGTTGGCCATCACTCTCTCATGGGTCCAATCACCCACTCAAGCTTTGCTAAAAGCAGTGGAAAGGTGTCAAAGAAACAAGAATCTCGGGCCCACGGGTCCAATTTTTCCGACTCGATCCAATCTCTGACAGCAACATTTACCGCCTATCCGCATTATCGCTGCAGTGTGTGACGTGATACCACCTCAACTATAAGGCACTTATGCGGAAAAAAAAAAGTATTGAGGGGTTATGTATAGAAAATAATCTATGGAAAAAAAAAAAAAAATTTACAACATCCTGTAGTTTCAACTAATGTTGTTAAGATGCTTTATTGCTCTACAACCTGTTCTGTATATTTTGCTTTCTCAACAATATTTTGTGTTACATCAACATCCAATAAAAATATTTATATTAGAATTTGAACGTAGTTAGCAAAAAACCGGTCTCTAACGGTACTTGTTCAAATAGTCTTAAAGTTAATGATTGTATTAATCTATGTATATTATTCAACTAGCTAGTTAATATGTTATTTATTCTGAACTATTTAGACTAGTTCTGTATACTGTTTGCACTGATTTTGCAAAGATGTTTACATTGATTTAAAATTGACAATCAAATCAAGATTCACCTTTTTCCTATACTCCCGTGTATAATTTTCTATAGACGACCATCTATAGGATGCTTTTCCACGAGCTCTCATTGCTCCAGCTTCCCTATAAATAGAACCCCACATCTTCAATAAACCTTCACTTGGCTGGTATTTGGAGCTCCATTAAGAACCGGGTTTCGGAGTTATGAAGCCGTTATCGCCCCCGCACGTGCAAGGAGAGGGATCATGGGGGCATGAGATGAAGAGAGCCGTTGGAGATAGGCTGAGAAAGGCTTATGATGTAGCTTTGATTAGGAGTAGTTTGGATGATCAGAAGATAACGGGTGAGATGATGAGGGTTAGTGGGTCTGCGTCCGAGGATCCGATAAGGAGAGTGATGTTCTTGGGTCCTTGGAGTCACACATGAGCATCGTTAACGTCAATACAAATCTTATCACGATGCTTTCCATGCGAGTGGGGTATTCTGAACCCGAAAGGAGACGATCGATCAATTTTATCAAAATTGTATTAATTCTTCTAATGAACGGCTCAGAAGATATATCCTGCTTAGAAATTTGTGCTCCCTTGATGGAATACGTACTTGCGCACGCTTTGTATCAAAAGGAAAAGGAAATGGGACTTGATGATTTCTTTTGTATGTTTGGATGATGTTTGCGAGTAATTTGAACTTACAAATGATGAATATTTGAAAAACGCTTTAAATGAACTTTGTTTTCATTTATTATCTCAGGATTTAATTAAATGAAGTTGAAACTCATGGTAATTTAAGGTCTTTTGAGAGTAACAGATTATTAAAAACTAAACGAACGTAGTTTTTCCATTTCTATATTCTATTTTTAAAACCATTGTTTATTTATTTTTTGGATTGAGGATCCATTTCAGTAAGTTAAAGGTTAGTGTGAAATCATTAGCAATATTGAGAAGTATTTGACTTAGTAGCCAAAATTCAGCATGCTAATCATATTAAATATAAATCTTTCTTTTCCGGGTTAAATTTCTTATGAAGGAGAAGGCAAAGAAGAGGACAAAGGGCATAAGTTGCTATTTGATTATTTATCTCATGCATACTTAGATTGAAAGAGCAATATCTTTGACTAGACTAAATCAGTTAATGCAAAGGGAAACATAATTATAAAGGGAGTTTTCTTATTCACCTTAGTAACATATTGTTATAAATATAGAATAAGAACTTTTATGAATTAACATGTTTACATTATAGTTTTTTAAAGAGTTAAGCCATGATTGCAAACCGATCCGATTAAACAAAATTTACCTAACCCACTGATCTATTGTTAAGGATTTATACATAAATATAACCTCACACAAATAGGATAAAAAAGAATTATGAGTTTCCATAGAAGTTGGGTTCAATACCTAATGGCTTAAGCATGACATCTGAATTCCTTCCTGGATTAGATTTTGCATGAAAGTCCCACTACTATAATCAGTTACCTATTTTGAACTTGAAGATCCTAGTGATGCCTTGTTAATATGTTCGCAAAGCCACATACATGCCTGCAACGAATTCCTTGCTGAATTTGTTTTTTATATACCAAAGCTTTTTCCCTGTATCAGTTTTCTAGAAATAAGAAAATTTAATTAACAAGAATCAATTGTTTGAGGAAAGAATTAGGATGGAATTGTCCTTTTAGTTTTATATTTAACAGAATTTGTAACAGAAAGTTGAAAAAGGATCAATCTAATAATATCTAAAAAGGAGAACGAGGATTAAGTTGAGAAAAAAAAATAAAGTACTAGAGCCAATTTGAAAATGAAGCTCCGGTACATGAATCAATTTTGTCTTTTAGCCTTCCTAAAATGCTGCCATGAAACGTTGAGGTAGGTTGCGACTGATGCTTTCCAAAAAGTTGCTCTAGTGCATAGAGATTCTTCCTTCCACCGGGGTGAAGGAAAGTTAAAGGGAAGGTAAGATAATATGTAAAACTTGTTTGGGATAGTAAAAAAAAATCAAGGGGAACTTATTTCACCTCATTTAAAAGTGTAATAAAATGAAGGTAAGAGAAGGGAATTTATATAAAATGACATAAATATTTTTACATTTTATTAAGCTATGTTGTTGTTAGATCTTGATAGGGGATAAATTGGTCTCTCTACAGTTGTTTTGCTTTCCTCCTTTACTTTCACCATGATTACACCCCACATTTGAGAGGAAGAAAAAAAATACGGTTTTCTCCCCTCCTTTACCTTCCATTCTCCATGCTACCTAGCCCAATTTGATTCTCAAACAAAGTCAAAGCCTACCATAACTTCCCCTACCCCTCATTACCCTCAATCCAAACACACCCTAGATGTTCCCAATGCATCCTTGAATCCATGGATGAAAGAAAGTAAATTATTAAATTTCACTTTTGCAAAATATAAACAACTACGCAAAATAAACACATCTATTCCTTTATGCAAATAGGAGGATCAGAGATTTACTGTTCATGCTACAGTAAATGCTACAATAGTACTTACTGTAGCATTATTACTGTAGATAATAATTCATTTAAGATATTACTGTAGCGCGGGGGTATACTGTAACATTTAAAGAGATATTGTAGCAAAGCGGGATACTGTAGCACTTCCAAAATTTCAAATCATGACATATTAAAAAAAAAGAGATTACTGTAGTAAAAAAAAATACTGTGCTTTGCACGGACCGCAAACTAGTGTAATGAAATATGAAAATAAAAACTCCAGGACGGCCTCATCTGAAAATTTTGTACCGGGGTATTTCCAAATATAAAAAATCAGTGGGCTTAAACATAAAAAATGTACCACTTCATCCACTGTGTAGTCCCTTCACTCCTTGCTCAGATCTCATTCTTCTTCTCGCGTCCAATCCCAAAAAAAAAGACAAAAATGGCAAAAATAATCGATGGCAAAGCAATCGCCCTAGACATCAGAAACGAAATCGCCAAAGAAGTTCAAACCCTATCCCAGACTTACAACAAGGTACAATTTCTTTAAAAAAAATTGACTCTTTTCGTCGATTTCGTTAATAAAGTTGGGGTTTTGATCAGGTCCCAGGGCTCGCTGTGGTGATCGTGGGAACTCGAAAGGACTCGCAGAGCTATGTGGGCATGAAGAGGAAAGCATGCGCTCAAGTGGGCATCAGGTCTTTTGATATCGATTTGCCCGAAGATATCTCTGAGGCTGTGGTTATTGCCAAGGTCCATGAGTTGAATGCTGATCCTGATGTTCATGGTTAGTTTCTTTTTCTTGTAAATTTTCGATATTGTCTTTGGAAGGATATAATGAGAGAGAATCGATTGAGATGATTTGATGATTTGGTCATGTATATGTTGGAAGCAACTAAAAAGTATGCGATAATAATTAATTTAATGGCAGAGATGTCCCATAATTGAACAATATGGATAAATAGAATTCATGTAGGTGATCCTGAAAATTATTTTCTTAAAGGCTTTGTTGGTGGTGGTGTGTCGTGGGGGTTTTGATGTGATTTTGAGTCAAATTTGTTTCTCTGAAGGAGTTGGAGTTAAGTGGTGTATAGAAGGTGGTATTTTGATAAAAGAGCTTGCAGACATTTAAATTTTATTCGGATTTTCAACTTTTGTATCTGGAAGGAGATATAGTTTGCAATCGTGGCATGTATATGGTGAGATATTGGAGGCTAGTATCATGGTGGAAGGTCACCAAAAAAGGTTTCTTCTTCATGATGGAGTTTTGTGTAGTCATACTGAATTTGGTTTTGGATCAAAGATGTGGGTTTTATAAATGTAGGTTAAAGACTCCGTGACTCGTTAATCTTTAGCTTGCATGGAGAGTTATATGTGAAACATTGAATGCTGATTCTGATGTCTTAATCATGATTAGTTATTTCATATTTGAAGAAGTTTGGTAGTTCTGGTATTGATGATAAGTTCTTTGTGAAGGAGCATATTCAGTATACTTTTATGATTTGAGAATTGGGTTTTAGTTATCAATTGGAGATGGTTTTCCAAATGGGCTGCAGTCAATATGTGTGCTTCCTTCTCATTTATCACTATTTTTGTGATTTTGTTTACTTTAGTTTAGTTCATATGCATCTGAAAATTGCTAACCGAATTGTGCACACACAATTACATGTGGAAGGCTGATGTTGCTGCAAAATTTGTGGTTTAGATGTTGATCTTGATTCTCATGAGAGTTTTTCTTTGAAAAGGTGTGAGATCCTATGATGGTATTTTATGTAGGAGAGGCTAGCTCGATGTTAAAAATAGGGGTCAAGTTTTAGCTGAGAGACTGAGAGTACTACTTGCATGACTGGGCTAGATTTTTAGCTTTTATATGTTGGTCAGTTGTGTTGAATTGGATTTATGTTGTAGATGAAGACTTATGAGACTACAGATAATTATACTATTGATCTAGATCTGTTAGTGTAATATTATGGTATTTGGGACAGGGATGGTGGGTCTAACTGATTGTTCTGGATTAGAGTGAACTGGATCTTAACATCATTATGGCTTGTCCTTTTTCGTTGCAATTTGAGCTTGATTCTGAATCTCTGATTAGACCCCTACAGTGCATCAAAATATTGTTTAGTTGGATTTTCTGAATGATCTGAGCTTGGTTTAGTACCTTCAAATATTAATGGCAGTGCATTGTCCATCTATACGGTTTTTTTTAACTTGTCATTGAAGAAGATTTTACCTGGTTCATACTTATACATGGAGGGATGGAGGGAAGAACAAAATATAATAGGATGACTAAATAAGCTCTTGATTTAGAACTTTGCAATTTATAGTTTAATTATGCTTGTCTAACTTGGATATTGTACCTGGTGTAAGATGTTTCCCTGTAATTTCCGATAGTAATTGGAATTTATGTCCTTTTTTTATTGCAGACCTTTATTTTATGCTCTATTTATTTCAGGCATATTGGTTCAACTTCCATTGCCAAAACATATAAATGAAGAGAAAGTCTTGAGTGAAATCAGTATAGAGAAAGATGTTGATGGATTTCATCCTCTGAACATTGGCAAGCTTGCAATGAAAGGAAGAGAACCATTATTTTTGCCCTGCACTCCAAAGGTCTTTTTGATCTTCATAAACTCTAAAAATAGGTCTCAATTACCTCAGTGATATGTTGTATTAATTCATACTTTATTTATCCTAACTGCTATATTCTTTGCAGGGTTGCCTTGAACTTTTATCAAGGAGTGGGATAAGTGTAAAAGGCAAAAGGGCAGTTGTAGTTGGCCGCAGCAATATTGTCGGTTTACCAGTGTCACTGCTTCTCCTGAAAGCAGATGCGACTGTGACTATTGTTCACTCACATACTCCTGATTCTGAAAAAATTATTCGTGAGGCTGACATTATTATAGCTGCAGCTGGGCAAGCGAATATGGTAACTTGTTAATAGCTTCTCAATGCCTTCTTTATGCATGTTGAGTTTTGCCATATGTTAAATACTAGCTAATGCCCCAATGATCACGCATCTGAGTTGTGGAATACAACTCAGTTGCATAATTTCTTGTTATTTGATATTCATAAAGAAAATACTAATCGTGAAAATAATATTGTTCGGCAATGATTTTTGCGTAATTTGTGCTAGGTTGTTTGTAGTTAGAGAAGCAGTGTACTTAGCAACTAGAGGTCACTCCAACTATAAGAGCGGGAGATACAATCCCATGTTTTGATAGCATATACTTCTCCAACTGTACGAGGGCGGTGCTAGAAATATATCCAACACAGTAGTTGCGCAACTGCCCTCATTTTGGCTGCAGCTTCAACTTCATGATTTAGAGCCTAAATTTTAGTTATAACTACAAAATTTAGTCTCAAAAACACCAATCAAACAAGCGGTTTATTTGCATTATAATTTGAATAGCATGTGACTCCAACTATAATCAACCGGTCACACCCATAATGGTGTCGGAAAACTGGTCAAACAAGAAATCCCTGCCATAACTTCCAGTATTAGAGCTATCAAAAAGAGTCAACAATTCTAGGGTTAAATTATATACACACCCTGTATTATAGGAGGCTAGTCACTTTACCCCTAACTTTTTTATTAGTTTTCTAAAATTATGATGTCCAAGCGGAGTTGTCTCTCTGTTTTCTGTTTGTACTATAAGAGCACAATGGGTCTCATTGCAGCACATTGAAGGGGACTTAGTGGAGAAAACTATTATTGATTTAAGCAAAGGACGGTTTAATTATCCCCTTAAATTTTTTTTAGTGGTTGTTGTCATCTATTATTGTTGCTCCAGATCAAGGGAGAGTGGATTAAGCCTGGAGCTGCAGTTATCGACGTTGGGACTAACGCTGTCGACGATCCAAGCAGAAAATCTGGTTACAGGCTTGTCGAAGTGGCAGGGTGGTTGACTCCAGTTCCAGGTGGTGTTGGCCCCATGACTGTTGCAATGCTGCTCAAGAACACCTTGGATGGTGCCAAGAGGAAGATTGTGCAATGAGGAGCAAAATGAAAAATACTGGTCGATCTCAGCTTGTTAATGTTGTACATTTTAAATGTTTTGGTTGGGGATGACAAATTTGAATTTCTTTATGTTGCTCATGTTCTCCTGGGAAGTTGTTAAGGCTCCTCGTTTCTTTATCATTGATTCTTATCGAGCCTTAGGGGCTGTTTGGTTGGTTTCCTATAACGTTTCTTTATCATTGATTCTTATCGAGCCTTAGGGCCTGTTTGTTTGCCTAAAAAAAATTGAAAATCAAAGAAATGGAAAACTATTAAATCAAAGAATTGTTTTGGGAGTGTTTGGTTTGCTAAAAAAAAAAGAAATCAAAGAAATGAAGATGAGTTGTCACCTTATTATAGGATGATGTGAGTGATTTTTTAAGAAAACTTGTTTTGATGTTGTTTGGTTGGCGAAAAAAATAATGAAATAAATTATAAGAAACATATTTCTTGTAATAGGTTGTTTTCTTTTGCTTGGTTATTTCTTAAAAATAAGAAAATATATGAGATGAGTTTTTTGCTTGGTTATTTCTTAAAAATAAGAAAATATATGAGATGAGATGAGTTGTCATTATATTATTGGATGATGTGTCTCACACTTAAGGAAATTGTTTTCCAAGCTTTTTGGTAGGAAAACAAAGAAATGAAATGTTAATGAGATGAGATGAGTTGTCACAATCTTATTGGATGATGTGAGTAATTTTTAAATATAAGATGAGATGAGTTGAGTGATGTTGTGGATGAAAATAATATTTTATTAGATGTGTTGGATGTGATGGATGAGTTGTTGGATGAAAATAATATTTTATTAGATGTGATGGATGAGTTGTTGGATAAAAATAATATTTTATTAGATGTTGTGGGTGAGTTTTAGGGATGAAAATGTATGAAATTGTACTTTTTGAGTTTTCTTGATTTGCATTTCTATTTTTTGGTTTTTTAGGAAATAACCAAACAGCCCCTAAACAAAAGAAAAAGGATGGAAACAATTAAGACTGTATTTTCACTCCATTCCTTATAAAAATCCATGAAATAGGTTTCCTAAAATATATGTCACGTTATCTTTCCACTTGCTTTTAGGGGGTGTTTGGCAATCTGAAAGTGAATTTAAAATATGTAAGTTACTTTTTTTTTGCAAATGACTTTTACATTCATGTCAGCACGCAAGTGTAATACAGTGTTTGTTTGAAAAATTAAATTATTATCGAAAGTGCAATGTGAAGATGATGTGGCAAAATAAGATTAATTAGAAAATATAATTAAAATTATTTAATTAAATTAGTTACCTTTTTGTCACTTTCATGTGACTTCACCACTTTTTTAGGGGAAGTCAAAATTGCATTAAATCTTATGTGGCAACTTTCTTACATCTCACTTTCATAACCACTTACATGAAAACAAACACCTTAATTGTTAAATAAAAGTAACTTTCTCACTTTCATCTTTCACTTACATGCAAACAAGAACCAAACAAGAAAATGGAAATCATTATAGAATATACATTTCCTATAATTGCTTTCTTTGCCTTTTTTTCCCAACCAAACAGTCCCTTGGTATTGTATCCTGGTGAAGGATTTAGCTGGTAGATTATGGTCATGAGCTAAAAAAAATTATTGTAGAAAATTTTATGTGAGAAAATGGGCATGAAATGGTGGCTCATATGACAAAATTCACCTTGCAAGTCACATGCCGCCTCACGATGATCAACCCCTTATTATATTAGATGAAACCTTAAGGGGCTATTTGGTGGTTGTGTGTAAACTTAGTTATTTATGACACCACATGGAAAGTGGTGTCCACCTCATCATTTTAAGTTTTAGCTTTTACATTGTTTGTTTTAGATTCCATTAAATATCCTCAAATGATAAAATTACATTGTTTGGTTTACGTGGAGATTGTATGAAAGTGATTGTTATATGTACCCAACTCCAAATATCATTTTATCCTAGGTAAGTTCACCACCATCAAAATTTAGTTGGGTTATTTGCAATTTAATACCCAAAACAAACATTATTGGTTTTGTCACCCGGTTTTAATGATCAAGTCAATTCGTTTAGTGCTTGCTAAAACGTAATAAGATATACCATATGAAATTTATTGCTGCTTGTAATAGTTTAGGCACTAAAGTTCCATAATTCTTTCACATTGGCCTTAGAAATTTCTAGAGAAAACCCCCTCATAGTTTAACTAAAGTAACTTTGATACCTCAAAATTTAACAAAAGTTTAAATTTGATAGCCCAAACTTTAACAAAAAATAACAAAATTTTTAAATTTGGGGTTAAAGTCATATTTTATTGAATTTTTTGGTATGTTTTGGGCAAATAAGTTTTGGGGTGTCTAAGTTTAGTTTTGTGAACTTTACAGTAATTTTTTGGCAAAAAGAAAATTTGAGAATTAAAGTTTAAAATAACAACTTTGGGGTAGGGTATTTAATTACAAATGACCCTAACTTTATACTCCATTGTGAATGAAGTCAATTCTATATTGTATTAGTAGGAAATTTTCACACAAGGGACTTTGTTGATACCATACATAAAAAAGTGAATTAAGAGGGAGTTTTGTAAAAAGTTCCCTTTAAGGCCATCAATTTGCAACAACCACGTTAAGCCCAGCCCCCTCACCCCTCACTTCTGACGCATACGTTAGCTTTCGGACAAAATCAGACCATTTTGAAAGAATTTGTGAATCCATAACACATCAGCTTTTGGGAAGCCACATCAGCTACTTCCCATACTCTTTTGATGTTGCATGCAGCCACATCATCTTGCTTTCCAAAGAAAAAAAGCGCAGACAAACAGCCCCTAAACATATACGAACAGAAAAATTATCGTAGCCTTGAGTAAAACAATAGTTCTCATAAACTGGATGCGCCGTTACCCACGATTTCAGAGGAAATTGATCTTGCCCACAACGTGAACTTGCAAAAAATCAGGAGGGACCGACCTCATGCGTTCGCCTTCAAAGAACAAAAACATCAGCCATGCAGCAAGCTCATGACCGGTCGCATCTTGAACATGGGTAGCCTCAAATGCCTTGTGTTTCTACCGCCTGTGACCATTCACTGACAAGCATCGAACTTTTGAAAAGATGGTAAAATATCGAAGAACATTGATGGAGTTGAGACGCAGAGAAGACTGGTTTTGGGTAAATTCCAAAAAAAAAACCCCTAAACTTTGGGGTGTTTTGCGAAAAAAAATTAATAGAAAACCATTATGAACTTTCCAAATTATATTAAACCACCCTAAAGGACCTAATTTAATGGAAAATTTCGTTAATACCGTTAATTAGTAATGGGATTAAAAGCCTAAACTGTGTTTTTATATTTTACCTAGGATCATCCGAAGGTAATGTAGAATAATAGAAGTTTTTTAGCAGACAGGGGCAGCTTTGTCCAAAAGGTGTCACTTGTGGAACACGTCGCAACTTGAAGTGATAAGTCTGCAAGTCATGATAATTAAGAGAGACAAGTTCAAGGGGATTTTCTACAATTCATAAATTTTAGGGGTTTTGGGTAAAACCCAACAATGTTCACTGGGTATTGTGCAAAACCAAATAAAAAAATTTATATTTATCATTACAATTCGAGGTAAGCGTAATAATCCTGAGAAACTTCACAACAGATAATAGGGAATGGATCTCCTATGGACAGATTCTAAAGCTTATGTACATATGTGAACACCTTTGCCTCTTCATCCCTGAACTTCTGATTTGTTTTTGGGACAGAAACAACATAACTAAGTATTGAGTTCTTCGGAATTATCTATGACATCATATCATGGGTTTTCGACGCATAGCGTATTAATATGCCGCTGGGATTTCATTTGTAACATGAATTGTATTAGAAATTTATGGTATTTCAGAATGAAGAACATGTACTTCCAAATCAAGTAAGAAATTCACAGTAATATAATCTAATAAGATTACTATTTAGCTCAACCGTGTTTCACTTAATTTTGGTGGACACATGAACTATAGCTCCACCACAGAATGTGGTCTTAAACTTCGATGCATACTATAGAATCTAAGACATCCCTCGATCAGAATAACTCCATCGCCAATGCCAGTTCAACATGCATATGCATGCGAAGTGTTTTGACATGGTATGTATTATCATCCAAGACAACAAAACAACACGAGATAAATCCATAACCTCTCCGAAACAAGTACTCTTCAGAAAGCTTCAGGACAAAGAAAAGATAAATCAAGCAAAAAACTTCTGAACTGGGAACAGAGGACCAAGACAGTCTCAAATCCATCTCAATTGCGAAAAAGATTCACGAGATTAAACATACAACGAAGTAGAAACTCTAAATAAAACAAGTTGTTCGGCAAAATAGCTCAGGGTTCAGACTCAAACTGACAAAGAAAAACATAACATTAGTCTACTGCTGTCGAACTTCAACTTTTTTCTTATTCCAGAGCCTATCCAGGGCACTGTCAGCATCTCCCTGCAAAGATAACACAAGCAATGAATAAAGAGGAAAATGTTCAAGTAATTATCAGAGAATTGCCATAGATTACCTTGATTGGTAAGTTATGACAAATAACAGTAATATACAGCACAAAGTCTATCACGGTTAAGTAACTTGGCCACCCCAACTGCCAAGTTATATTTTGAATTATATGACAAGATTTAAGAAATGGCTATAATCCTACAAACTAACTAGAAGAGATGCAGCTTGCTCAACAAAACACAGTTCATCAGTAAAAGCTATCAAAAGTTTGGCATTTGGCATACCCCCACCTAACTTTTAAATAATACATTTTTACACTTGCTAATTGGACCCTACTGAAGTCAGTTTCAGATGCAAATGAGAGCAATTTGCTTTACAATTCTGATGTGATTAACCCTATTCAATCTGTACAACTTGCACTTCTAAAAGTTTGGTTCATATTATTAAAATCACAACGGTTATTAATCAAAAGGTTAAACATTTAAGTTTTGTTCAAAATTTTATCAAAATAATTCTAATAAATAGATATCTGAAAAACGTTTGTTTATATACACACTTATAAGGGAACTTTGTTTAGATTAACCCAGAAACATGCAGGAGAAAAAGTTTTAAAAACCAAGACATTTTTTGAAGGAAATGAAACAAAAATAGAGATTGATAAAAATTTACTTCAGGCTAAAACAATATACAAGATATTTTAGGAATAATTGTATTTCAACAGGAAGCATAGCATCATTGTGCATTATTTGGTCCCTACCAAAAAGAACTAAGAATTATATTGGATAATTAACTAGAAAAACAGTCTTATCCGGTCATGCAATGTAAAAATTAACAAGTGACCAAACTATAATATTCTTCTATTAGAAAGGAATTGAGAAAGTTATATAACAAAATTAAATATAAGTTATATAACAAAATTAAATATAAGTTATATAACAAAATTAAATATAAGTCGCTAATTTTCAGTAAGAGAATGGGATTTCCGACATCCTCAATTGACCTCCAACGAAGAAAAGTTACAAGGTCCTCGGTAGAAAGGATGGTCGAACGATAAATTCTTGCACAAGCTTTGAGCTAAAAGGAGGTTTCAAAGTTCCTCCTCCAAGCCTTCGATATGTGCTCAATGTTCTGATAGTTTTTACTTTTCAAATGAGAACTTTTTCTATAGCAAACTAACTGCAAAAGAAACATTAAAATACATACTCGATATAGCCTTGCCTTAGTTTGTAACAATAAACTAAAATCAAATAAACCATGCTTGTGAACTGAGTAATAAAAACAATCGCCCCTTGCAAGAGCTAGGAGTTGGAATAAAATGTAGACTAAATATAAAGAGGAGATTATTTTTACCGCCATAAAAAAAATCCAAGTTGGAGATATTAACAAAAAATTTCGCCCAGGATATGAATAATGTAACAAGCAATATATCAGGAACTTGAATTGAATCATTTTAGCAAAACAAAAAGTAATATAAAATGCAAAAAAGTTATTTCTAAAATTTGAATTGAATCATTTTAGTAAAACCAAAAAGTATTGTAAAGTGCAAAAAATTATTTCTAATGCATGCAAGACAGCTTCTTAGTCTAATAAACAAAACCAACAAATTCCATCACTAGAAAAATCATTGTTGATAGAAAAAAGAAAATGATAATATGGAAAAACAGTGGTGTTTTCACTAAAATTTAACGTAGTAAGTTGAAATCCTTAACCAAGGATGAAGAATACTTGGCTAGACTAATTGAGTAAAATAAGTAACAAGAAAGCAGTGAACTGACCCAAGTTAAATGGGAGCATGGAGGAATGTGGGGAGTAACAGAAGAAATTGAGAAAAATAAAGACTGCAAAACCCAAACTAAGAATCTTACAAACTTTTGTTAGTTCAATCAGCATTCTGGAAAAACAAAAGAAATCACAAGTTCTAAATGTGGATACAGCACCGATCATTTATATCCAATTCCAAAGAAATATTTTCAAAGGAAATTTTTGAAGTCCCTAAATTAAATATTTTTACATTAGAACAAACATTGACTGATGACTAACAATTCAACCCGATAAGGAACTGGCATTTAAGTTCATAAAACCTATTTTTCTGTAATGTAATCAGCTCTCTATCAGAGCCATTTCATACATAATGCAAGATCCCAATAAAAATTTTATTTTAATGTTTCACAATATCAACGTCAATGCATGTTCAATACTCTACCTCAACTAAATACAAAAAATCATTAGCAGAGCATTTTTAGGATTTTTCTATTATAAATCCATTCTTTTAGCAGGAATTACTTTTAAGTCCACCAGCTTTCAAAACTATTCATAAACCCAAAACACATAACCTGATTTTTAAACCCATATCCTAGTACATATTCTAGCAGTTCAGACCGATTTTTAAACCCATATTCTAGTACTTTAACTAATATTCTAGCACTTTACCAATACTTCATAGCAAGTTAACATAGCTTTTGGGATTAAAAATAAATCAGCTTGGGCGTTCTAGCCTTCTAGGTGCATGAATTGTTTTGGCAGTGAGTTGCTATAAAAATAAATCAGGGTAAAGAATGGGTTTAAAATTTAAAAAAAAAAACTCGCATTTTTAGTAACACGGTCAAGCATCTAACTCGTGAAACTAACTCAACAATCACAAATATCAATATCATTAAGCAAGTATCTAACTCGTGAACCAATAATCTCAATCTAACTTTAATCAAAATATATTTAAGGTTTATTAAATAAAACAATACCTGAGCTCTGATGAAGCCAGATAGAGCAAAAGTTGAGAACTGGCCGGTGTAGATCCCGTTCTCATCAACGTGCCCAATGTTGATCTGCACTGCAGCGTGATCCTTGGCAGTGATCAACCGATTCGTCGCAGAACTGCAAATAAAAAAAAAATCAACAAAAAATCACCCAAAAAAACAGAAAATGCATCAAAAAATAGAAGAAGAAGAAGAAAGAAATCAATACCATTTTCTCGGGACGTAGAGATCGACGACAGTTCCCTCCTCGTTCTGCATCTTGCTCTGGGTCTAAATCGCCGGTCGCAGTGCCTAGATTCAAGTTTCGGTTCAAATAATTAATCAAAAAAAATCGAAATTTCTCTGAAAATTAAACGAAATTGAGAGATCGGCCGGGTTTACGAGGGGATTACACAGAAGAGAGATGAAGCGCGAGGAGGGGGCAGTGGTGAACTTTGCCCTAACTTCTCGTGGCGCATTTATACGTGCAGTCTAGGGTTTAGTTAGAACTGGGCTGGACCTGAACTCTCTAGGCCCACCCGGCCCAAATATGTATGATAATGGGTCGGTTCTTGTGAGCACCTGGGCTGGAAAGTTCATATCCACAATTTAGTCATATTAAGGAAATAAGATTTTCTTGGCTTGAGTTTGAATCCCCAAGCAAAGAAAAAAGGGTCTGTAATTTTACTTGACTTACTTTGAAAATGACTAAATTTTCTGATGGGCAAATTGATCAAATCGGTATATTTTATTTACCCATGGTGGTAGGTTGGCATATGATTTTTTTTTTACCAAATTGGTATATTTTCTGAACTCCGGCGACAAACATGCCTTAAGTTTGGTCGGATCCAATTTTTTGGCCATTTTTCTCACGTGACTCCAATGTGACCGCAACGTGGACTCCATCGTGGCTGGAGTTAGTGGGAAGGAGTCGAGTGGTTTCTGTAGAAAACCCCAGAAGAAAAAAATTCCCCACATTCTCTTATTTCCCTCTCTCCCCCTTGAGCGTGAGAGCGTGATCATCCCCAAATTGCAGACAATCTAAGTGAATATCTTCCATCTACATTGAGGCCGAAGAGGTTATTAGGGTTATTTCATCGTCTTTGGCGCGACGGAAAAGGTGAGTGCAAAATTCCTAATTTTGAAACTAATTTCAGTAATTAGATGGTCATTGAGGACGACTAGGGTTATTTGATGGGTTGAAATTCATGGTTTAGTGTAAATTAGGGTTTTTGATTGTGATATTTTGCATATGGGTGTAAAAATCATGGTTAAAATAAGACATGGAGGAAATTTCCTGCTTGGCTGGGTGAAAGATTATGTTGGTGGTAGATTTGATGTTAGATTTTATAGATAAAGATGAACTGAATATAGAAAGACTGGTGGATGAGGTTAAAGCAGTTGGGTATAACAACTAGTACTAAGGTAGGAGGAGGTAGAGGAGGTAGAGAGAGGGAGAGGGAGAGGAAGAAGGAGAGGGGGTGCAAGTCAACTACGGATGCCAGAAGGGTTTGGTTTGTGGCAAGGAGAACAAGGGGAAATGACATTTAGAGAAAGTCAAAGTAAATATGATACAGTTGACAGCTAATGCACCATCCTCACAGAGTGCACCCTCTCAAAATTTGGCTATGTAATTAATGTTTAGTAGAATTTTGACCAGTTTCTTTATATCTAGAAATCTGAGTATTTTGTGTGCTATGTTACTGATCGGTTTATGTAAATTCTATTGTTGGGACAAAGTGATTAATGGTTACCTCTCTCTAGGCATGTAAATGTTTTCATCAGAAATTAATTTCATTGCAGAATCCATTAAACTTCAATCGTTTTACAATGAATTATACAACAAAATAAAAAAATTTATAATTTCTTAGAAAATAACACAAAAATCGTTTATCGACTTCTGCTTTTGTGGGACTTTGCCTTGTTAGACCCTATAGGGGGGTGATTAGGGTCTTATGCTAATCTAATCCGATTTTATGCTAATTAAAATTAATTAATAAGTTAATCTAATCCGATTTTATGCTAATTAAAATTAATTAATAAGTTATCCTAGCAAGTATGAAATACAACAAGATATATGAGCTAGGATAATAATAAGTTATCCTAGCAAGTATGAAATACAACAAGATATATGAGCTAGGATAAGCAATATGAACAATGACATATATCCTATATGATAAAAATATATGCAATGATATATAAACTAACACAAAGGTGAAATAAGCATAAACAAGATAGTGGATAAAATAAAATGAGCAATGCACAGTTGGCGATATAAGATAAATGCAAAAGCAAATGCGTCAATGACAAACTCAAACACACTTAATTGATCACGGAGTTCGGACCTTCCGTCCTACATCTCCGCTCCCTACTCCCGGTGAGAAATCCACTATCACAATCGGGTTTTCTACGCTCACCCGAATAACCTTTACACCTCACAAATGTCGGTTTTCAACGCTCACCGATCAACGTTCACAATCACTCACAATGTCGGTTTTTAACGCTCACCGATCAACGTTCACTCCTCACACTAAAGCACAATTATAATAATTGTTTATTCTCTAATATGGATAAGAACACAATAAAAGCTCACACTCAATTGTTACAACTCTCACCAACCCAAATATATTATGTATGAAAATACAATAAGCTCAATGTGGGTGTGTGTAAACAATGAGTGAAACAAGATCAACTAAACTCAAATGTAAATACTAGCTTAATAGAATTGATAATCAACAAGTAGTTATGAATAAAAGCAAGAATTGAGTTTAGAAAAACTTCTCTAGATGATAAGCGAGAGAGAGATTGATTGAAGCTCAATGAATTGATTTCCACTTCCTCTTATGGAATTCTTCAAAAACCAAACCCTTAAACAAACTTAAAACCAAACTTAAACTCTTTTAAAACCTGTTAAATTTTTTTTCTTCATAAAAATAGTTATGGCAAAGGGGTATATATAGGGTAGAAGAAAACAACTCAAAAAATCTCAAAAACCCACTAAAAACCAAAAACAGAAGTTACCGTTAAAGTTCAACGGTCGGATGCTACAGTAACAGAGGTCGACCATGAAGTTCATCAAAACTGAGAGAACGTGCAGAGAGTTTGACGGTCGACCGCACTGTAGCGCGGTCGACCGTGGGTACTGTAGCACTACATATCCAGTTTTATAAAATCAATTAAAAATAGTATATCAACTCCAAAAATTATAAAACTTTGAGGGAAGGTTCTAGACATGTAGAAGAACATGTTAGAGAAAGAATTTCTGAAAAATAATTTCTCATTTGAGAGAAATTAATGTTTGAATACAGATATATAATTTCTAAAAATCTGCTGACATACACGATTTTGTAAAATCAATTGGGTACAGTAAATCAACTCCAAAAATGGTAAAATTTTGAGAAAAGTTTATAAACATGTAGATAAACATTTCAAAGAAAGAATTTCTTAAATATCACTTCCCATTTGTGAAAACTCATCTGTTTTGTAAAAACATGCACGAACGAAAAACATGATTTTGTAAATTCAATTAAACGTAACAAATCAATTTCAAACTTGATGAAACTTTAGGAAATGTTTGCAAATGTGATTTTGAATTTCAAACTTGATGAAACTTTAGGAAATGTTTGCAAATGTGATTTTGAACATGTTACAAAAAAGAATTTTGCAATTTACATTTCCCAATTATGAAATCTCATTATTTTGCAAAATCGCATAAGTATGGACTTGTAAAAGCTTGATCTTGACAAAATGAGTTTAAACAAAGTTTTAAAAACTTTCCAATAGATTTATAAACTTGATAAAAGATATAAAATAATGTCGTTAAGTCTATAATCTAAAACGATGATAAACCAAACCAAACGTGTGTGTGTGTGATATTGAGCTTGAAGTATTAACACACATAATATATGCCCTAAACTAATTTACCCAAACTTGATTGGTCTTCAATATGCTTGACTTGATAATCTCGCGGATGAAGCTTGAACTTGATCTTTAACTTTGAATTGCAAGGCTTCACTCTACTATTCTGCCAACCTCCATTGGATATGATCGTTGAAGCTCTATTCCATTCATCCTCCAACACGTTATTTGCCTAGAATAAATACGAAAACACAAATACTAGACAAACAACATTAGATGTAAATTGTTTGCTAAATCACCATCAAAATAAGAAGGCCAACATGCCTGTGCCGGGAGTGTGTTGGCTCATGGACCACCGATTCACAGATTCTGATCGAATTGTGAAGGCTTTGGGTATTCTTCCTTCGTTTAGAAGCAAGAATAGTTTCAGTGAATATCTTATCGAAGTAAGATGAACACTCTTCTCAAGATCAAGTCAAAGCTTAGATCTTAAGAAACCTCCGAATTGTTGAAAGGAGATGAACTCTTGAAATTTTCCCAAGCCTTTTAAAAATCTCTGCCCAATTGCTCAAGTAATTGCCTCTCTGCTCTCTTGGATCTACTCTTTGAATCCGCTCCAAAAAATACTCAGCCCCCTTTTGTAACAGCTGTCCCACTACTTAAATACCATATTTTATGAGGTTAGTGGACCTATTTTCAGTTTGTAACTATCTCCCGACGTTTATGGTTGATCTTAAGCAGTTATGAAGCCAAAAAACCGTCAAAAAACGTGTTATAAGCAACTCTGTGGCCTAGACAGGGCTGTGTGTCACGCACTTCTGCGACAGTTTGTACTATCTTGGGTATTTTGGCTCTAACTCCCTCGTCCGATATCGGAATGAGATGATCCAAGATGCGTTAAAAAGCTGACGAATAGATCTACAAGTTTTGTTTTTTGAGCTTCTTTAGATTTGGTGTGAGACAGTCATAACTGTCTCGTAGTTCCAGGACAGTTGCGACTGTCTCGTATTTCCGAGACAGTTTGTGTTGTCTCAGGTATTTTGGCTCTAACTCCCTCATCCAATATCGGTATGAGATTATCCAAGATGCGTTGGAAAGCTGACAAAGAGATATACAACTTTTGCCTCTTCAGGTTTGGTGTGAGACAGTCATAACTATCTCGTAGTTCCGAGACAGTTGCGACTGTCTTGCACTTCCGAGACAGTTTGTGTTATCTCGGGTATTTTGGCTCTAACTCCCTCGTCCGATATCGGAATGAGATGATCCAAGATGCGTTGAAAAGCTGAAGAAGAGATATACAACTTTTGTCTTTTGAGATTCTTCAGATTTAGTGCGAGACAGTCATAACTGTCTCGTAGTTCCGAGACAGTTGCGACTGTCTCGCACTTCCGAGACAGTTTGTGTTATCTCGGGTATTTTGGGTCTAACTCCCTCGTCTGATATCGGAATGAGATGATCCAAAATACGTTAGAAATCTGATGAAGATATCTACAATTTTTATCTTTTAAACTTCTTCGGATTTAGTGCGAGACAGTCATAACTATCTCGTAGTTCCGAGACAGTTGCGATTGTCTCGCACTTTCGAGACAGTTTGTGTTATCTCGGGTATTTTGGCTCCAACTTCCTCGTCCGATATCGGAATGAGATGATCAAATATGTGTTGGAAAGCTCGCAAAGAGCTCTACAACCTTCTATAGACAATACACTGATGGAGTGGGCAAAACACACATGGTACTTCGCCCTTTTGTGGGCGAAGCACAACTCCTGGTTGAGTTGTTCCTTTATCGTTTAGCGTGTTTCACAGACTCATACGCTTCGCCAACTTACTTCATGTGCTTTTTAACTTATCTATAGTATTAGATGATCTCCTTTGACTCAGATAATCCTTCTTGACTCGGATAGTAACATTCATCGTCTTTTCTTCATCTCGAGCTGTGTGTGAGAACCTATAGGCAATTTTTTTATGCCTACAGTAACATGGTTTTAGGAACTTAATTACATTGGCAGATTGAAAGTTTATATGTCTACTTAATGCCGCTAGATTTATTGTTTGAATCAACCAGGCCATGTGCATTTGGGTCAAACAGGCACAATATTGCCTTTTATTATGAGCAACGTAATTTACTTAACTCATTGCGTTAAAACTTCAGATTACATCAACTTCATAACCAACTCAACTCACAAATTACAGTGTTTTAACCATATTACAACCACTTTCACATTATAACAATCTTCACATCATAACATACAAAATTAAACAGAGTGTAAACATTCCTAATAACAAAATAAATTTAATTGTCCTTTTTTCTTATGCAAACTTTGCATGCAATTCTAATCTTTCACTCATCAATTTCTCTACTTCTTCCAAACAAGTAGCAACCTCATGTTTAGACAATTCAACATCTTCTTTAAGCTTGTAAATGTGCTCATTGCATCCTCTTAGCTCATTTTTCACACCTTTGAAGCAACTCCTCCTTTAAAAGCAACGTATTCCTCAAAACATGGATCCCCTCACTTAAAAAGCGGAAACAATTGACATCCAACAATACACATTTGCCTGTCAATCCACTTCCAAATGCCACAACCGCCAGCCTATCATTACTCAAAAATCAAAGGAAATCATAACAAAAGAGATGCCAAAAAATAAATGCTTCTAAGTAAAAACTGCTATAATTACTGCTTCCAAATAAAACTTGCAATAAATGAGGAAGTTTCCAATACTAAACAGTTACAGATATAACTATTCAGTTTTACAATTTCTTACCAAGGGATGTGAACCGAAATTCCATGTCCCCATACAACTGCCTTATTCAGAACTATAAATACAACATGATCTGTATCGTTTTGCCTAAAACATCCATCATCTTTAAAAAGTAGAAGGTAAAAGAGGATATTTTCTTTCATTTAATAGCACAATAATGGACAACGTCTCTGCTTGGGGAAAGAATATAGATGGCATCGTTATCTCTTAATTTGAAGATAATGTTGAGGTAAATATGCCAATAATTACCTATTCTTTTGCTTCATATTTCATTACATGTTTATAATTAAATTCTCAGATGGAACAATTCCTCGACAATCAAGATAACTATGTCAACTATGAAAAGTTTTTGCTTGAACAATTATAAAATAACAACAAGAGGGTCATCGCAGAAGTGAAATTACTATGTCCCTGTTGCAATGGAGAAAAAGGATGGACCTACTGAGAACTGCTAGATCATGCTAAAGAATACTTTGAATGGAAGTCAACAAAAACAAACAAATGCAGGGTGAAACATGATGCACTGATGGAGTTCTTGCTTAATAATTTGGCAATCCTCAATAATATATGAACAATTTAATGTTCTACGTTTGAATTGGATAATATTAGGCTGCAATACGATGATTAATATATGAATAATGTATCGATTGAACTTTGTTTTGTAATATCTCTCTCTGTTCGCAAAATTCGTATTTAGCATGGATATTCTCATATCTCTCTCTCTCTCTCTCTCTCTCTCTCTCTCTCTATTTCAATAATTTATGAAATCCAAAATTAATTTTGCATGATGATTGTGGTATTTGTAGAACCTCCTTCCTGGATTTTCATCAGTTATAGAAGTAAAATATTCGCACTCCAAACCACAATTACAAACTTTCACCCCATATTGTTTTGCTAGATCATTCCATTGTCGTATAGCTTTTATCCCATTAAACCCTTGTTTGCTTCTTCCCATGCTCGTGCTTGACACTGATCTTGAGCGACAGCTTGAAGATGAAGAATTCATCACTAATTTAAATTTCACTGAACCTAACCCTAACCCCTAGGAGGAAGAAGAAGATGGAGTAAGACGAAGAAGAAGAAACTGGAGTAAGACGAAGAAGAAGGCGGAGGGATACGAAGGGAAGAAGACCAGAAAACCCCTAATCTGAGGAAAAACTCCCTTTCAAAGAAAATTATTCATCCCAACTACCATCACGCTGACATTGCGGCCACGTTGGAATCACGTGAGCCGTCACGTGAGAAAAATGGCCGAAAAATTACATCCGACTAAACTTAAGGCTTATTTGTTGTTGGAGTTCAGAAAATATACCAATGTGGTACCAGAAAAAATTATATGCCAACCTATCACTACGGATAAACAAAATATACCAATTTAGTCATTTTGCCTTTTTTGATGACGAAGTACATGTGTGTTATGTATCAACAAATAATAATAATAATAACAATACTTGCTAAATTATATTAAATTCAAGTTCAATTGGATCTAGATCCAGCTAGACCCGAATCCGACCCGGCCCAATCGTGTCTCTTCTCCCCGACGGCGAAGAAACTAAGAAATGGCGGACATTTCAAAGTCCCTCCCTTTCTCTCTCTACAAATTCATCAACTATTAGTTGTCTCCTTCAATCTCTCTCTCTCTCCAACCTAAGTTCTTCAGATCCGAGCTCTAGCCATGGAATCCGCCGTCGCTTTTAGATCTTTCAACGGTAAGTTACTCCGGCGATCTCGTTTATTTTATGCGATCTGTTAAAGTGTACTCTGATATAATGTCATTTGAGTTCCACATTATGAGGCTCATTAAGATTTCACCATCATGGGGAGAAAAAGGTTTTCTTTGTCCTCTTAGATTTCTTGTGATTTGATATTTTAGTGAGGAGGAGGAAAATCGATGGATAAATAAATTCTAAATTCAAAAAACCAATCTTCAGTAATCGACCCTCTAATTCTCCATAGTACAAATCGTATTAAACCAAAACATGAATTGTTGATTTGTCAACCAAAGCTCTATAAATATAAAGTTACTTTCTCAGCTGGAAACTCCAATGTCTTGTTGAAACTAGTGAGTGTCATGAAGAAAGAAACAAGAAACAATTCAATCTTTGAAACACATACATGCCTTTCTTTTGAGTTGTTGGTCGAAAAATTTTTAGGATGTAACAAAGCTCTAGATTAAGCAACTGACATTCTTGACTGAACTTTCCTCGATCTATAGACTTGAGATCATGTGAGACAAAACTTTTTCTTCTTTGCCTTATTCTGCAACTTCATTTTTTATGGAAGCTTGGATATGCAGTTGACATTTCCTGTCATAATTGATTGTTAGGTGCCTGTCAGCCTGTCGTACATGCACAAGCTTTTCCAGGGAAGCCCGCTTCTGTTCCTATTTTTAAGGATGCTTCAAGGAGGTGTTTATCTTTCCAAAGTCGATGTCAGAGGTTTGTTATCACTAAATCATCTAACCAGGCATCATTGTTGCCTTCTGTAAAGGCCACAGAGACTGCATCGGCAGTGACATCAAACGGTAACGGTGAACTAGCCTTCGTAATCATCCTGATTTCCATTTATTTTTCATCACGATATATAAACAGTAAACTGCATGTTTGTTCCAATAATATATCTCATGTGATATTATCAGGAAAGGACTGGAAGGTCGAAAAAACTTAGATCCCTTAAACTTTTGAGACTTTAGCAATTGAAGTCTTGGACTTCCTAGTTTACGTATAGAGCACTTCGCAAGTATAGATCCTTAGTTTTGTAAAAAGAAGACATGCATGTACTTTTCGATTTTACTGGAGAAATCTTTTACTTCTTGCGTGAATCGAAAAGTTTACTTGTGTACAGCTGAAATCATACCTTGAATCCATTCACAAAATGTAATGTCTAAGTACTACCGGGCACAAACAATAGACATGAATATCCAAGTAACAAAACTGTCTCTGTCTCTAAGTTCAATATACACATTTTCTTGGTCCAATTTATGATATGGTTGAAAGGAACAGAACAAAATTGGATTATAAGAGGTGAAAAAGAACATAAGTGGTATTGCACTATTTTCTTTCTGTCAATTCTCCATCTAGAAAACTCTATTTACACTATTGTTAAAAAGGATTGATGCCTAATTGACAATGTCTTGGACTGTTGTGGGTTAGTTTTTGAATGCCATGCATCTTTATTTCATATTATGATCATTGTTTTAAGATAGTTCTGTTTATGAATCTGTATGTATTATGCAAAAAATTTTATTTACGCAGGTGCCTTTTCAGAGAATGCTCCGCAAGGACTTGCACATGAGAAAAATGTTCAAAAATTAACATTTCCCAGTGGATTAAAGGTCCAATCTGTTCCCCTCTTTTTTTTAAGCGAGGCAACTTACTTGATTATGTGTTTGGTGCTGAAGATTTTTTTTATAGTTGAAGCTTTCATGCATAATGTTCTGTTTAACTTGTATGTAGAGTTAACAGATAAGCTGCACCTATGTTTTGAATTTCCAGTGCAGTTTCTTTATTCTTTTTTGTTTGAATTCT